ATAGCCGGTGATCATTACCCGTGAATCGCATTTGTGTTGTAAGGTACTCGTGCTCTCGCTCAAGGCAGGCGTCCATGTGGGCAGACGCAATCATTCGCAGATTGATTTTGTTTACTGGTACCGGTTATATTTTACCAGGATTGTGTCCATTCAGTCTGTTGTCTACACTAATTCGGTGGGACTCTATGTAGTGAACAATGGGACAATGATATGTTAGGGACAATAGGTAAATGCATATCAAGTTCCATAGGACAGTCTGAATGAGAACCACAACTTGGCGAATAGAAACCCGTGATTAAATATGAATCGTTTTGGTGGATTTGCCACCGTTTTCACACAGTGACATGCAGAATAATCCTAAATCAGTTGTGTAGGTTAGTTTTCCTTCTGCAACTGTTGACATTTTATATGGTTTTTCAAGGCACACAGGCAATATTTCGTAATGCAGCTTGATGAGGGCAATGCTATGGCTTTTTAAACACAGTTACATTGGGGGGTGTTCCATGACTGCAGACACGAAAGTAAACGTTCCGTTGACTTTCTAGCCCACTCTACTAGGTGACCAATTTGAACTGGTGGCGCCTCAAATTCATGTTGTGACTGAGTTAGTTTACTTGATGGAAAACGCGGTTGGGGTTTTTCAGAACCAAGGAGACCATAATAAGTTAACTAACTAGACGCAGCTACTGACCGCTGTATAATTATATAATTCTTAAAGTAATTTCAAAAGCGTGACGGAATAACACATAGATTTGCTTTGTGACTCATCACGGTGGAGTCTCGAGGGCTGCAAGATCATTTTTTTCCAGGTTGCCAGAACAGAAATTAATTAGCTTGGGATGCGATTTGCGGGCACTCTTAACACTCTATTTTTGGTTCACCGCTGCATGTTTGAAGCAATATCGGTTGAAATTATTAGACGCACTCGGATTCAAACAATGTGCGGCTTGCAAGACCCACCTGCACAAGTACAGTCGTTTTAAAACTTTAATTAAACTAAGGTTTGTTAGTTGTTCCCCTTTGGTTACAATAACTAACAGTCCAATCCATATGTAAAATGTCAAGCATTTTATTATAAGCAGTCAAATGTTTTTAAATTTGTACGTTATTAAATTAATGTGGTCTGCGTGAGATTTTGCAATACAAAACTAGTTCGTTTTGTGGAATACTAAACTGTATACTACCTGATTTGTAGCAAATTTGTTTCAGTCAAAATTAAATATCTGCGGAAGCAATGACAAATGCATTAAACGCCTTTCCTATTTGTTGGAATTATTCATATTATTTCTAGAATAACAGAGAAGCGTGTATTGCGTCGGATGTATTAACGCAATTTCTAGTATTGCATTAATTAACAAGCATAAGCTCAAACAATAAGTTAAATATTCTCCCTGCATTTGTATAAAAGTACGCGTGCATTGCAAACACCTAATAGAAACAAACGTGTAAATGTTAATTCAAAAACATCATTGCAAATCAAAATAATTGTTTTGATGCGTCACAATAAGGGTAATGTTTTAATAAAATCATTTAAATTTTACTCACTTGGTGATGTAATTATCAATTAAGCTTTTCGATTTAACTAGGATTATTTTTGAAGTGTTCGTCCCTCGCCTGAATGGACGCTTGATTCCCAATCAAACCCGAAGTCGCTGGCCCCCCACAGGACAGAGAAAAGACGAATCGGACGAGCAGGGCAACAGGAATGAATTAGCAAATCACATCGTTCATTATAAAGGTAAATTGGAAAGTTCGTGAACAATATATTTAAAGCGACCGTGGAAAGCTCTGGAAAGGCTAACTTACAGCCAATAAAAGAACTTCAACCTAGCGTTCATTGGCCGCTTCTCCTGGTTGGCTCTCTGTTCGCCCCAATCAGGGCGGATGGGTTTGGATAGCCGGCCGAGGCGATGGGGTCCTGGCTTGTTCGACTCGTGTATTCCTTCCTAACAGGGGGGGCTTCCGGGAGCTTCAAGCTTGCGGACATAAAGGTGCCTGAGCCGAAGCCGAAAGCAGCCGCGAAACCTATACGGTTCTCTGCCGTGTATAGTAGTGCATGGCGTCGTCTACTTTTCAAAATGTTCGTTCCAGCAGACCAAAGTGAAACACATTGTTTCACACTACTTGATGGACGGAAGTCTGTTGCATAGATGGGGTTCTCCTCGCTCCAATGGTGGATGCCAGCGAACTTTCTTGGCGAATGTTTGCCCGCCGCTACAATGTGCACTTGACATACACACCTATGATTCACGCTGGAATGTTTCTGAAGGACAAAACATATCGAAAATCTTGTCTGCAATTTTGTAACGAGGACCGTCCCCTCATCGCCCAGTTTTGCGAGAACACGCCAGAGTTATTCATCAAGGCTGCCGAGGTCTTGGAACCCTTTTTGTGATGCTGTCGATCTTAATCTGGGCTGCCCCCAAGGCATTGCCAAAAGAGGTCACTATGGTGCTTCTTTGCAAGATGAGTGGGACCTGTTGAAGGAAATGGTAAGCCAAGCGTCGAAACAGCTGAAGGTGCCTGTGACCTGCAAAATTCGCATTTTCTCCGACGTTGAACGTACGGTAGCATATGCGAAGATGTTGCAGGACGCGGGTGCATCTTTATTAACTGTGCATGGACGCACTCGCGAAATGAAAGGACCACTGACTGGTTTGGCTGACTGGACTCAAATATAACGCATTAAGGAAGAACTTCGTATACCAATCATTGCGAACGGCAATATTGAATATTTTGAGGACGTCACGAGGTGTTTTCTGGAAACTAAAGCTGATGCAGTCATGAGTGCTGAAGGACATCTTCACAATCCGGCCATCTTTGTGGGACTGCAGCCATCCGTGTACACAAAGTGTTTAGAGTATTTGGAATATGCCAAGAAATATCCCTCTGCGATGTCTATCGTTCGCGGACACGTGTTTAAACTGTGTCACCATGCGCTAAATGAACATCCTGATTTCCGGCACCATATATGCGTGGCTCAGAGCGTGGATGAACTACGTGATGGGCTGAAGGCTTTGGAAGACGCATGCCCTTCCTGTTCGAAAAACCGAGACGCGTCAATCCCATCTCCGTCGCCAGTTGAAGTGTTCGTCCCTCGCTGAATGGACGCTTGATTCCCAATCAAACCCGAAGTCGCTGGCCCCCCACAGGACAGAGAAAAGACGAATCGGACGAGCAGGGCAACAGGAATGAATTAGCAAATCACATCGTTCATTATAAAGGTAAATTGGAAAGTTCGTGAACAATATATTTAAAGCGACCGTGGAAAGCTCTGGAAAGGCTAACTTACAGCCAATAAAAGAACTTCAACCTAGCGTTCATTGGCCGCTTCTCCTGGTTGGCTCTCTGTTCGCCCCAATCAGGGCGGATGGGTTTGGATAGCCGGCCGAGGCGATGGGGTCCTGGCTTGTTCGACTCGTGTATTCCTTCCTAACAGGGGGGCTTCCGGGAGCTTCAAGCTTGCGGACATAAAGGTGCCTGAGCCGAAGCCGAAAGCAGCCGCGAAACCTATACGGTTCTCTGCCGTGTATAGTAGTGCATGGCGTCGTCTACTTTTCAAAATGTTCGTTCCAGCAGACCAAAGTGAAACACATTGTTTCACACTACTTGATGGACGGAAGTCTGTTGCATAGATGGGGTTCTCCTCGCTCCAATGGTGGATGCCAGCGAACTTTCTTGGCGAATGTTTGCCCGCCGCTACAATGTGCACTTGACATACACACCTATGATTCACGCTGGAATGTTTCTGAAGGACAAAACATATCGAAAATCTTGTCTGCAATTTTGTAACGAGGACCGTCCCCTCATCGCCCAGTTTTGCGAGAACACGCCAGAGTTATTCATCAAGGCTGCCGAGGTCTTGGAACCCTTTTTGTGATGCTGTCGATCTTAATCTGGGCTGCCCCCAAGGCATTGCCAAAAGAGGTCACTATGGTGCTTCTTTGCAAGATGAGTGGGACCTGTTGAAGGAAATGGTAAGCCAAGCGTCGAAACAGCTGAAGGTGCCTGTGACCTGCAAAATTCGCATTTTCTCCGACGTTGAACGTACGGTAGCATATGCGAAGATGTTGCAGGACGCGGGTGCATCTTTATTAACTGTGCATGGACGCACTCGCGAAATGAAAGGACCACTGACTGGTTTGGCTGACTGGACTCAAATATAACGCATTAAGGAAGAACTTCGTATACCAATCATTGCGAACGGCAATATTGAATATTTTGAGGACGTCACGAGGTGTTTTCTGGAAACTAAAGCTGATGCAGTCATGAGTGCTGAAGGACATCTTCACAATCCGGCCATCTTTGTGGGACTGCAGCCATCCGTGTACACAATGTGTTTAGAGTATTTGGAATATGCCAAGAAATATCCCTCTGCGATGTCTATCGTTCGCGGACACGTGTTTAAACTGTGTCACCATGCGCTAAATGAACATCCTGATTTCCGGCACCATATATGCGTGGCTCAGAGCGTGGATGAACTACGTGATGGGCTGAAGGCTTTGGAAGACGCATGCCCTTCCTGTTCGAAAAACCGAGACGCGTCAATCCCATCTCCGTCGCCAGTTGAAGTGTTCGTCCCTCGCCTGAATGGACGCTTGATTCCCAATCAAACCCGAAGTCGCTGGCCCCCACAGGACAGAGAAAAGACGAATCGGACGAGCAGGGCAACAGGAATGAATTAGCAAATCACATCGTTCATTATAAAGGTAAATTGGAAAGTTCGTGAACAATATATTTAAAGCGACCGTGGAAAGCTCTGGAAAGGCTAACTTACAGCCAATAAAGGAACTTCAACCTAGCGTTCATTGGCCGCTTCTCCTGGTTGGCTCTCTGTTCGCCCCAATCAGGGCGGATGAGTTTGGATAGCCGGCCGAGGCGATGGGGTCCTGGCTTGTTCGACCCGTGTATTCCTTCCTAACAGGGGGGCTTCCGGGAGCTTCAAGCTTGCAGACAAAATGGTGCCTGAGCCGAAGCCGAAAGCAGCCGCGAAACCTATACGGTTCTCTGCCGTGTATAGTAGTGCATGGCGTCGTCTACTTTTCAAAATGTTCGTTCCAGCAGACCAAAGTGAAACACATTGTTTCACACTACTTGATGGACGGAAGTCTGTTGCATAGATGGGGTTCTCCTCGCTCCAATGGTGGATGCCAGCGAACTGTCTTGGCGAATGTTTGCCCGCCGCTACAATGTGCACTTGACATACACACCTATGATTCACGCTGGAATGTTTCTGAAGGACAAAACATATCGAAAATCTTGTCTGCAATTTTGTAACGAGGACCGTCCCCTCATCGCCCAGTTTTGCGCAAACACGCCAGAGTTATTCATCAAGGCGGCCGAGGTCTTGGAACCCTTTTGTGATGCTGTCGATCTTAATCTGGGCTGCCCCCAAGGCATTGCCAAAAGAGGTCACTATGGTGCTTTTTTGCAAGATGAGTGGGATCTGTTGAAGGAAATGGTAAGCCAAGCGTCGAAACAGCTGAAGGTGCCTGTGACCTGCAAAATTCGCATTTTCTCCGACGTTGAACGTACGGTAGCATATGCGAAGATGTTGCAGGACGCGGGTGCATCTTTATTAACTGTGCATGGACGCACTCGCGAAATGAAAGGACCACTGACTGGTTTGGCTGACTGGACTCAAATAAAACGCATTAAGGAAGAACTTCGTATACCAATCATTGCGAACGGCAATATTGAATATTTTGAGGACGTCACGAGGTGTTTTCTGGAAACTAAAGCTGATGCAGTCATGAGTGCTGAAGGACATCTTCACAATCCGGCCATCTTTGTGGGACTGCAGCCATCCGTGTACACAAAGTGTTTAGAGTATTTGGAATATGCCAAGAAATATCCCTCTGCGATGTCTATCGTTCGCGGACACGTGTTTAAACTGTGTCACCATGCGCTAAATGAACATCCTAATTTCCGGCACCATATATGCGTGGCTCAGAGCGTGGATGAGCTACGTGATGGGCTGAAGGCTTTGGAAGACGCATGCTCTTCCTGTTCGAAAAACCGAGACGCGTCAATCCCATCTCCGTCGCCAGTTGAAGTGTTCGTCCCTCGCCTGAATGGACGCTTGATTCCCAATCAAACCCGAAGTCGCTGGCCCCCCACAGGACAGAGAAAAGACGAATCGGACGAGCAGGGCAACAGGAATGAATTAGCAAATCACATCGTTCATTATAAAGGTAAATTGGAAAGTTCGTGAATAATGTATTTAAAGCGACCGTGGAAAGCTCTGGAAAGGCTAACTTACAGCCAATAAAAGAACTTCAACCTAGCGTTCATTGGCCGCTTCTCCTGGTTGGCTCTCTGTTCGCCCCAATCAGGGCGGATGGGTTTGGATAGCCGGCCGAGGCGATGGGGTCCTGGCTTGTTCGACTCGTGTATTCCTTCCTAACAATTTTATAACCCGTTAACGTCAGTGCTATCCTTAGAGTTGATGCATCTTGTCTGCATATTGACAACAAAATGCCAGCTGCTTTGTGATGAATGCAGTAATTTTTAATATAATTCCAAAGGAATATGTTCAGATATGGCATAAAATATGAACAACTTACTGGCACGATACTGCTATTTTCTTCCAGGGTATGTGGTTGCGATATCACCTACTTAATTTCTTTATTCAGCGTACGCTGTAAATATTGTGGCGTATTAATATAGAGTCTTTCCTCGCACCACATTCATTTTTCCCGTAAAATAAAAATTTTCTTTTTGAGAATTCATTAAAATACGCTGCAACTTTACATGAAAAGTCTTCATAAAAATTAAGCATCAAACAATTAATTAGTGCTTACGTTTAAAACAAACACCATTTGCGTAGTAAATGTATGTGTTGTATTACAATCGCCAGCAAAGTTAAAGTAATTAACGATGGTTCAGTACGAAACATATGAAACTCCCAGTAAGCTTACTTGATTGCCCATAAGCGGAAAAGAAATGAAAACTTCGGCAGCACAGATGAACGTTATATTTTTGGTGCAACAAGCTGAACAAAACGTCCATATAGCTGCAAAGCGAGAGCAAACCCACGGGCAGTGAAAGATAGACAGCGGACAAAAGTACGTGTATGAGATTTTAAGTTCCCAAGTCGCTGCCTCATGTAATCATGAATCTTCTAAGTGCATTCCTTACAACCAATTGGGAGTGAAATAAACGTATAAAAATTCTTCGACATTATAATATTATCATCTTGGACAAAATCAGTTCTGCTTTTTACCTATTGAATCACAGCATATTGTAGTAGGAAATGATTATAATCCTAATAATAATAATAATAATATTAAGATCGTGATTTCTCATTGTGTGAGAAGCTGTGTCCATATTTAACACATATCATATTTTACAGATAATGTCATGCTCCTGATGATGATTAACAGTTATCTGATATTCATTTTCATTAGCATTTCAAGGACATATATTTACTCACATGTGTGTTTTAACACAATGTGCTCCCGTTGGATCAGGGTCAGTAACAGAACTTAGGGTGTACAAAACGGGGTAAAATTTTTCTGTTTTACCCATTAGTTTTCTGACCCATCTTAGAACAAGACATTAAGTGAACTCTCACTTGAGATCAGCTTCTTTCTCTTATTCATTTATAAGAACTTGCCACCTTTACGTAAAAAACCATTGCGCTGACATCCGGTCCGATTGTTACCGGCAACCTAGTCTACAGGATAACACATATGATAAAATTTTGGAGCGCAGGTTTCTCCTGCAGCTGGGTACACCCAGTGTAAAATTTTTATGCTAAGCTTCATTGTAAAACTATCTCGTAGTTCTGAGGAAGAGATATACCAGTATTCTTTTGATGTATCTTGTTGTACAGAAGCATTTTGTTCAGTCTCATTCTTCGTTGTCAAAGCGGATTGAGTTTGGATCTTTGGCAGCGCTCCCGATAATCCTTATTGGACGCCTTGCGTGGTAGAAGCTTGGTAAATAAGTTTTGTAGACTTTTTCTCATACTACAAAATATAGACCGCAATAATTCAAAAGTGGGCGAGGGATGGTTTTGAAGAGTTTTACTCCGGCTGGGGAATATATTTCTTATCCAATATATTAGGCGCTTTTTTGTTTGGCCCTGCCCAGCTGTTATTCAAATTGATCAAAGCCGTTGAAAGGGCATGAATATGTAATCCCGAGGAATCTGCGTAACAAGCTTAACCAAAGGAGATCGTTGTGGTGTGTATTTGACTCCTAAGTTATCCAATAACCGCGAAAATCATGCTGTATTGTAGCAGTGAGAATTCGTCGTCCAAGTGTCTCAGTATTTCTCAAGGGCGTGAATGTCTCCCTGTAAGCGAAATCGTGCACCTTGCAGTTCATCTCATTAGAGTTTGTAGACCATATTAATGTCATCTTTAAATAGGAAATGTATGCCATACCTTATAACCTCACTGATGTTACTGACGTTCAGCAGGAACAGTAAAGGATCAAGTACACTCTGTTGGATAAACCCACTAGTGATTGGACGTGGAGAAGAGTGCTAGTCGTCTAAAGTAAGTAAACGAATAAGTAGCCAAGTACTGATCTAGATAGTCACATACATGAAGAATCGGAAAGTATGGGCACATACTTTCTTCTAATTTCCGTAACTTATTGTATCATCTATACAAGTATAGTGTTACATTTACTCACGTTGCGCATAATTAAATTTACGTAATTACACATGCCATGGGCTTCCGCTTAAATGGTTTACTAATCTAAAGGTGACTGCCACCTCAAATTGTCGGATATAATGAAAATGTTTATATAGTGTTGTGTGACTGATCCAAAAGCATGAAAAAAGCGCATTACGAAATTCCCATGAACGTGGACTTATTACTGGTTAAAAAGCAGGTGTTTGGCAAGTCCCATAGAATGGTTGGAGTAAAACTTAATATTGAAAGGATCAACTACTAAGTAAATCGTCATTTTTAACGACAGCCGAATAAATGCACTACTGCATAACGATAGTTTAAAATGGGAACGGGTTGTGCAAACACAACATATTATAGGATGGTTTTATATTGCAGTAACTGCATGATAAATAAAATGGGAAACGACAACGCCCATACGTGTGTTGCTTCAATTTACAGAAGTGGTAGGTCAGTTCAGTTTAGATGCGTCAAGACTACTCACAAGGTCATGTGTGTGCATGTATTTTCGACGCCAGGTTGCGAATATGGCCGTTCGGCACAAGGTTGGGTTCGTATTATTTCCTCCTCCGCAGGGAACAAATTACATCAAATAATGTACCTTGGCCTGCGTGTCATCAGAGCGTTTTTGAATGGCGTTAATGTAGGCGCAAGGATGACGTGAGCCGGAATGGCGTTCTATACACGGACACACTGAGGAAGAAAACGTTTCGTTGACAGTCAAGTCGACTGTAGTTGGTAGCTAGTTTAAATTGATGGGCTATCAGCTTGATCCGTTTGCTCAGCTGCAACAGCTTAAGACATGGATGAGATAGATTTGTCGGTATTAAGTAAACTATGGTAAGGTCACCTCGCTGACATCGATATTCACCACTGTACTATCTCAGGGCCTGCAGTCCGCGTTAATAACAGAGATGCACCAATTCCATTAAGAATTTGGTTGCTGTACGTTGCGGAGCTTTAAGTGAATTGATGTAGCGTTTGCGCAAAGGACGCCGGGCTAGAACGGCATATTCAACGTGGTGTCACAGTATGCATTCAGCAGTTGCTGAAAGATTTAGGACTAGAAATTTCGTACACCTTCTGTAAGAGTAGAAGCTGACCGACTTTTTTGATGCCTTTTCAGCCTGTCTCCAGCAGCCAAGCCCATACAGCACCAGCACACTGAAGTCGTTTTCCCAGAAAGCACTTTGCGACTGCTGGTCTTCAAGTTGCTATACGCAAATAAGCTGATGGCATATACTTAAGACTTTGCGCTGCTCTACATTGAAATGCAACAGGTTAAGGGATGACCACGCATAAGCCCTGTCGGGTTCGCTTTGTAATGCCATGTAGTCATCCGATGTCCTGATCCTGTGCCAAATTTTGACGTCATCTGCAAATAGTAACGTATTCGACTGCAGTACGGATCCTAGGGGCAAGTCACACTGGACCTCAACTGGGTTGAAAATTGACTTGAGGACTATCAAATTCAGTGGAACTTTAGTGAGGTAGTTCCCGATCCAACCGAGCACTGGGTAACTGATACCATAAGTTGGAGGCTTTTGCAGGAGAATGCAGTGCTCCATACGAAAGAACGCTTTGGAGAAGTCCAGGTAGATGAACTCGACTCATACTCAGCCATCCGTTGACATTGTCCAGTTTGCTCGAGGTAGGAACAAGTTTGAAATGCAAGACCGCGTTCGGAAAATCTGTGCTGCCCTGACACTAGGATGTTGTTGCTCTCGAAGTATCCCATGAGCGCAAGTGAGATCATACCTTCAATTCTTTGGATAAAACTGAGAGGAAAGTTATTAGACGGCGGTTCTGGGATTCCGCGAGATATCCGCTTTTGTAAATAAGTAAGGATAGTCCATGACGCCATATAGTGGGAACCAGCATTTTGTCGAGAAAACCTTGAAAAATATGAGCCATTGTTTCCGCAAGGTTCATGGCCGCTGTCTTCCATGTCTTCGGTTAGATGTCGTCCACACCATGTGTGTTGTGTACAGGCAATGACGTTTGCCTTTTCATCACATTGGCTGTTGTGAACGATACGTGGCTTAATCCTGGTGGCGATAGGAGCTGCGTCAAAAGCGGGTGAGTTGATGATTTATTCTGGAAAGTGTGGATGTAGGGTTGGTGAAGCACGTCCGCCGCATCCTGTGTAGTGTGCGCCAGACCAGCTGTTACAGATAAAGCGGGGAACCCACCCTGCACTGTGCGGCGATTGTTGACGCATCTATACAGCAAATTAAGAGTTGTAAGAAATTTTGCCGCTATGTTCTGTCGACGCTGGAGTTGTCTTTTCAGATCACCTTGACACAGTGTTCTCCTTGTGTAAACACCCCAGATCATGTTATTTGGACAGGAGTTGCAAATACGCCAGACCGAATCCCTTTTAGTCGTGCAT